CAACGAATATTAGAAGCAATTTATCTTCAACAATATTCCCATGGCGATTGAAATTTGATCCTAATGTTAATAGATGATAGATAACATATTCAAATTATATTACACAAATAAAACGCGTTTTAATTATCAAAATGTACAACAAAATATATATAAACGAGGAAAAATCTATACATCGTAATAATGATTATCGCTGAATACATACAAAAAGGATGGAATTGTGGTACCCCGCTGTGTATTTTATAGCCAAAGGGACACTAACGAACAGCTGCCCGGCCGGTTGACCTGCTGGTCACTCAATTTTGTTCACAATATTAGTTCCGAATAACATGTTTAGTTTAGTTATATGTAAGAACATTTCTTGTTTGTTTAGAATGATTTTCTTACATGGTGACGGAAATTACTTTTTCAAAGGAAACTTGCATGATTATATATTCGGAAATAACTTTAGTTTAATAAAATATTAAAACAGGCGAAGAAGTCAGGTCGTTAATATTTTAATTTTATTGGGCAGGATTGAAAAAGTTGACATGATAGTGATAAAAGATTTGAAAAAAATGTGGCCGATGTTTTATAGTTTGAGGTTTTGCTGATTTTTTTGAAACACATATGGTTGATACAAATTAATTTTGGGAAACGCTCGCTGCGGAGTGCAAACGTGGCGTTTTTTAGAGGTTTGTTTGTACCGCAACGAGAACGGTGTAAGGTCTAATATTATCTTTTATCTCGATCTAATATAAAGAACAGATAGTTTAATGGAATGAAATTTGGATCACAATAAGGTTCTGTATGTGTATTCATTTAAATAAAACTAAGATTTAGGGATATAACTACTCGTTTTTTTAATGTTATACAACTACTACATACTTCCGGAGTTTTGTTTTTTTTTGCAGCAACCGTGATTACGGGCAGACGAGATGAAAGTGATCTTTTAATAAAAACGCGTAGTAATATCCGAGTATCTTAGTTTTATTTAATTGGATTAGAATGTTTAGATTTTTTGATGATATTTTAGCTGACAGACATTTTTTTATTGTATCCAATTTTTCCGCGTAACATCTTTATCATAACAGTAATATTTCTTTTGTTTCTTCTAGATTTCCTCAGAAAAAAAATATTTTAAGTAACTTAAATATTTTTCATTAAACTTACACTTTATGAACTTTGATAATAATATACTATGGATAAAAAATATGATTTTCAAAATTTTACTTACCATCTTACTTTAAAATTTAGAAGTCTTTTAAATCATCTGTATCCTTTGTTTATTTCCTTACAAATGATTTTTTACGAATCTATTTAAACATTTCTTAAAATTACCTTGTTATGTTAAATAACAACATTATCAGTATAATTTCTCAGTTGCTAAATACAAGCGGAACCTTAAAGTGGAATAAAAGACATTTACGAAAGGCCTTAGGCTTAAAATGGTTATCTTGATTTTATTAAAATAATAATTATATATTATTATTTAAATGCTGATTGCAAAAACTTGATTATAAACTACCTAACAAACTTATATTTAATATATGTAACTAAGTTTTTCTTCAGTAATGTTACCAACAAACAATTACATGAACTTTTCACTATGTGTTCATTCCAAAGTGAATTAAAAGGAAAACTACATTGGGAGTGGAAAGATACCGCCTCCAAGTATACAGTGGAGATCAGAAATAAAACTGTTTTTAGTTAAAAGCTCGCTTCGGGATTGTTGACGCTGAAGCATTTCTTAAACCATTTCGAAATACATAAAAAAACTGTTCAGCTGATTACAATTCATCTGCGAAGATATCGTTTTAAAGAGACGAAAACGAAACCTCTTAACTTTCAATGTATTTACCGTGCGAGTGCCAGGTCCATCGTTGCAGAGAGAGGAGCTTCAACAGTGAATGGGACTTGCGACCCAGGTGTAGGCAGTAGGTTTACGGGGCCCCTATCTAACGCGCGTTAAACGCTCACCTCAACCGTCCAAGCTCCTCTTGTATATCTAATCTAAATAATAAAATATTACCATTTCAGAAATATTCTACTGATATATTAAATAATTTAACATGATATTAACATAATTTCTATTTCATTAACACATGTTTACACGAGAAACATTATTTACATACGTAACTTTGACAGACGAGATGTTTATTTCATGGGATAGATTTGGGATCTAAAATTATAATAATATTTATTACAGTTTCAAATTCATGGTGACATAGTGATTCAAATGTTCACAGAACATTGACGATAATTATAAGAAAATGACAATGACTCAAAGAATAGAATACATATATATTTTGAGTCATGTGTTGTATAGCTACGAGTATATAGCCACTTATATATAGCTATTTAATGAGATCTAAGACTTGCGCTAGTATTCATTTAAATGAAACTAATATTTTTAGATTACTTAGTTACTTTACAATTATTTTGACAACATACTCCCGAGTCCCGAAGTTTTAGTTACTTTGTGTATCTCATCGTACGTCGTAATATACTGAAGGTATAACTTTAGTTTTTATATAATTAAGACCTCTACTCTCCCACCTTGTGTCAATGTTGTCTGCAACATTCTTCGGTACATACTAGAGAAGTATTGTATGATTTAAAGGAATTATTTCCAGACTTTTGTTTGATAAAATTCAAGGATTCAATATACCAGTAGTTAATATGTACATTCTCATAAAATAATTGACTTATTAGTATGTCTGAAATATATCACTTACTTATAACATAGACCAATGTTATATGTAAGTGCTTTATTGAATGTTCGTCTTTATGGCTGAAATATGTTAATTCTTTTTTATTTTTATTCTTATTATTTCATAATTTACTTTTCTCATTATACGAAATTTGTCTTAGGTTAACAAAATATATCTCTAAGTTGTATTTGGATGATAATTAAAACAACAAATGAGTTTTGAATATTTAATGAACAATATTTTATATATGTAGTCGTATTGTTCAAAATTGTATATAATGTATGTATATAGAATGCTATACAATAAGATACAAGCCCTGTTCGCTTACTGTAAGCCTTAGTTAATATATTTTTGTGCCGTAACAAAGTAAGAAATAGCCACAAAAAAGTAATATGGTACATACGTCATACACGTTCAAGTATTGGTAATTTAATACTAAGATTTCGTTTGTTTTCGTTTTTGTACTGAATTTCGATAAAACAGAAATACTTAAATTAACCTAACTATGGACTCGACTCTCAGTATTGTTTGAAATATCAATATTAAGTTAGGAAAGGTAATTTTTATGAGAAACAATCAGGCATACCACTGTTTAAAACAATAATATAGAAATTAATAATTAAATATTTATATAATACATCGTATTTGTCTTATAAGATATTATAACAATGGTCCACTATACTCACAAACAGCTCTTAATAGGATATAGCAAAATAAATATTCAGATACAATTAAGACACAATGACATTAAATGATAAGTTATCATTCAAAATCTCACTAATCGGTATAATGATTACAATATCATTACAATATGTCTAAATATACATACATATAAAGAAACAGTGATATTAATTACAGTTAAAAATCATTGCATTTCATGCTAATGCTTTCTTATTAAAAGAATGATTACAATAATAAAAAGAAATAGCCAATGATTCCAAATTAAATGATTTTAATTCAGCGTGGATTTATATTTCGTAGATTAATTTTATTAACATTTTAAATTCTAATCTATATATATTATTCAAACGGATATTCTAAGATAGAGGAAGCTACAACATAGTTACAACCCAAATATCTAAAATAACTATATTTATAATGGACAGTACATTTATAAATGATCTATCGCCGGGCAATTTTTGTCCGTTGGTAGATAGACACGATAGAGAAGCTTTCATTATGCATTTAATTTGTAACTAGCTAACCTTAATCTATGATTATGATATTTTAATACAAAAATAATTACACCAAGAACGAAGTGCCGATGATATGTTTCTAGTGATTCAAATAACTGTTGAGATATAAAATTATTAATGCTAATAGTTTTATATACAATGATCTATTATATTATTTTACTAAGAAATTACTTGTTAAGTATTCATTTTGCTTTACTTTCATCATTTCAAATGATTATTTTGAGTGTGTATCTCAGCATTGTTTCCAAACTTTTTCGATTTTGTATACAAAACAAGCAATTATCAATATGGACTGTTCATTAGTACCTAATATTAATTTATAATAATATAATCTACTAATGGTCGAATGACATAATCTGTGTAGAATACAGTTGAATAACATCGAATCATTTATAAATATATTTTGAATATTGCTTCTATATAAAATATTCAATGATTATAATGTTAATACTACACAATCACTCAATACTAAGGTTTGTATGGTAATTGGTAAAGGACAACTTTATGGAGATTATATTATTTGTCAAAATAATAACAAAATGATTAAAGTTTTTTAATAATCAGATAATAATAAAGACACTGTAAAATTTATTCACAGAACTTACATATTTTATTTTGATTTATTTAAATTTATTAATTTTTTTTCAATTAAACTTCGTTATTTGTATATAATATCTTTTCTGTTTGAGCAGAAACTCAGAGATCAATATGAAGCAAACGATTTGAAGAAACTGCCATAATTGATTATATAAGATAAAAGTAATGAAAATGTTTAAAAAAGTTGTAGAGTTTAGGAAGTATAGTCAAAATCAATTTATAAAATTATATAGGAACTTTAAAAGATAAGCTGTACTTAAATATGCATGAAGCGTTTAAAATCATGGTTCGAAGTTAATTAAAAATTTAATAATAACGATAAAAAGTACAGAAGAACTCCCATTGCTTTATAATATGACCTGGGTATTCTGGAAAATATTTAGTTTACTACAGACGGACAAAATTATATAATACTCGAATGCGACAGATTCCAAATATGTTAATTTCAACCATTATTATAATTTTAGCTAAGTAGCTTTTAACTTAATAGTCACAATCGTATATATTTTTTTATTATTTACGTAGAAGCCGATGATTTTCTTTTTTCTACTTTGTTGTCTCTTAATTTTGTCTCGTCCAGAGATTCAATTTTGTGGTCTCTCAACAAAGGGGTACGAGCATCCGTTTTTTCTTCGCATTTTTCATATTCATTGCTATAATTATTTGCTTTCACAGTGTTATTGCTTTCAATACTATCTTGTCTACTTGTGCTATTACTCTCATTTTTAGGTTTATCTTCTATTTTTTCGCTATTATACGCCATATTATCGAAGCATTGAGCTGGTACTATGTTTACAGACTTCATCATTGGTATCGCTAAGGCGAGTGCTGGACTTATGTCACGGGGGCTTGGGGTAAGACGAGTGGCAACCGTTAAATCCATTCCTGGCATTAGGCTGGCGACTGTTGAAAACAAATGCATTAATAAAATGATAATATAGTTACAGTAATATAAGTTCTGATGAAAAATATAAAAGACAAACACTGGTACACAAAAACTGTTACTGAAGTTTCCATGCTGACAATGCGAAAACATATTGCGTAAACACCAAAGTTAAATTATTACATGAAAACGTTCTGAATAACACGGACGTGAAGCTTAATGAATATTTCTACTCTACACCCATTCACAGTGACGTCACAAAGAAAACGGACTCTGACATTTCAACTCAACAACGAAGAAAAACACATGTACAATGTAGCTTTCATACAAAATGGCAAGTGTGTTAAGTTTCATGACAACTATCGCGTTAATTATTCAGGATACCCAGAAATTTAGTCTCATTAGAGATGAACCCGTCGTAAAGCGTAACTTTGATCCACAGCTATATTCCAAACATTAATGACTATTTAAATTTAAGATGAATGAGGGTCTATTTACATTTATATTTGGGAAATTATCATCAGATCCTCTTAATAAAATTTTGAGTGAGATACAATTTATTATATTTTTAGACTCCATTTAAATAATGAATTATCAATGTGGAAATATTTAAACCAAACTTTGGACTTTATTTTCAATAAAATAAGAATAATAATCGCTATAGCCGTCAGTTAATAATGTAGTTAGGTGATATGAGTTCTGACTTCTGGTAGTACCCACTTTATGAACTGTTAGATTATAAAGACATTCATATTATATGTACAATTATCGATTTATTTCATTCGATACATTAATAATTCTTTCATATAACAGTTCTTATAGTAAGTACCATTGTAAATGTCGATTTTACACTTGTACCGCCGTATTGAGAGGTGCCTGATCTGGTTGAGGTGTGGACTTACAAATAGTCGAAGTATTGAAGAGATTCCCTGAAATAACACTTGACTATGAAACATTATAATTATAAAGTAATTAGTACAAGAATAAAAATGCTAATGTTTTTAAAGATATTGTATGTGATAAGTATAAAAGTTGGTGGTTAGATAGTCATGTAAGGTATTCTTTAGAAGGCTATGAGCTGGATGTAGTGAGTAAAGGTCTAAGTACTAGAACAGTATAAACACAAGCAGCCAAGCAGCTAAACTACATTATAGGCCCCACACAACATTGAAATCCGAACCTTCCTCCTTATGGATGAGGCAATGGGACCTATGGATCCGTGTGCTGCTTGAAGATGCCTTGTTATGTGCATAGTGAGTTAATGATTGTTAGTGTTTATATAACATTCCCATAAGCTAATTCCGTTTGTGCAGGCGACATATTAAGCCCGTTCCCGGAGCCAGCCAGTGTCGCTTTTTAAAGCATATTTAAATTTTTTCTTTTGCAGTTGTTTGGTGTTGTTTGGATCATAGCTTCAAGCTCGCTACGATCACCATCTGTGGAGGATTACACTGCATAAGCTGTTAGTTATGTGAGCACCTAAACTTATTATACATTCCTGGGATAATTTTAGCGTCTAAATGTAACTAAGATTCATTCATAGTAAGTTAATGTTCACGAGATTTAATAAACCATTGGTATGACTAAGGAGTACAAATGTTTTTTTTATTTTATATAAATAATTTATCCTTAGCCTTGGAATATAAAAAAATAACTACATATAGTTTGGGTTTTCTAAACTGTTTTGTTTAACTTGTTTTAGTTAAAAGTCACGCGAAAATATATAGAAATTAGATATAAAGAAGCTAAAAATATCCCTTAAATTGTTAGTTGTGATTTTCTATACAACTATCTATAAAACACTTTCAGTCAAACCATACGCATAGAAAATGTGAATAAATTTTACGTATATATTGGCCTAAACTGAAAATGTTATGAGAATTTCTGTAGCTTCACTTTTTTATTGAGAGTTAGTTGTCATGTTCAGTCGTATTTGAAATGAATTTTGATATGCTTTCTTTGTGCCAATTTTGTTGTGCTGAAAAGTTCTAAAATTTTTTAAGATTAATTTTTATTTAGCTATACTTATTTATTTATTGGTCTATAGTTAGAAAGAAAATCTTTATTATGTTTACTAAGACTATTTACATTAAGCTTTTATTTAATTTTCATTTATTTTTCTCATTTTCTTTATACTTACCCATATTAGGTCCCATCATGTCTTTCGGATGATTTGTTTTAATTGCGTTCATTCTTCTGTTCACAGCTTGTGGGCCCATGCCAGGTGCAATGGGACCTGCTGGGCCACCTGGAATCCCCGGCGCTCCTAAATTTGATTATTAAATTAAACGAGTGATTAATTTAATATTAATATAAGTAAAAAAAATCTAGGTATATTTATTTATCCTTGGAATGTCAATCAGTACAATTCGACTTCATTCTGATATTTACTCAGATGGGACTCACAAAAAAAGCATATTTTTTAATTATCTAAATTTAATAAAGAAATCTTATAGGTTATAAAACAGTTTTTTTGAAATGTACTCAATTTGGATAGTATCTGATTTTTAAATACACCTGAAAGTCACTTACGTAATGGTGGTCTCGTCGGTTCTACGTTAATAACTCTTCGCCTCTTTTTCGGCAGTTTTGCCCTAGCTTGAGTATGTGAATAGTACATGGCGAAGTTGGAGACGATGACCGGCACTGGCAGGGCTATCGTCAACACCTATGCAAAGAATTTGGACATTATAATTCATATTCATCATCAATATACTATTTGCATTAATTTCAATCAACTTACGCCAGCCAAAGCGCACAAGGCGCCGACAAACATACCGACATATGTTTTCGGAGCCATGTCACCATAGCCTACAGTAGTCATGGTAACTAGAGCCCACCACAACCCCAATGGTATGCTGTTGAAGTCGTTATGTGGATTCGTTTGTATTCTCTCCGCATAATACACGAGACTGGCAAAAATTACAATACCGAGCACCAAGAAAAACACTAACAATGTCAACTCCTTCGCTGACGCTCTAAATGTCTGGATAAGTATCTTAAGGCCGGACGAATGTCGTGTCAATTTAAAAAGCCTCATGATTCGTATGATGGAAAAGAACTCCAGAATGTCAGCATTCTCTACGTGGGAGGCGTACTTCTGTAGAATCAAATCGATGTAGAAGCTCATCGTTGCTATGTAATCTATGATGTTGACGGATGATTTTACGAATTCGCACTTATTGGGCGATGATATGAATCTAACGAGGATTTCGAGGGTGAACCACGCGTTGCACACACACTCGATGTAAAAGAACGCTATGTGGGCATTTGTTTGCACTTTGTCCAATGCCCAACTTTGGGTTTGATTAGCGGTTGTCACTGTGTAGTTTCTGATCACTGGCACTCTCATGTCCGGGTGCGTTTTTAGACAGAATGATATTATTGATACACAAATAAAAAACACAGATATCACACCGATAATCTGGAAAGAAAAAAAAATTGTTAAAAAAAACTAGAGACTTGTTTTGAGAAGAATATACATATATCGATGAAACAATTCTCGATTGAAAATTAAGCGGGTATTCATCATTCTTAATAAGTTAAATAATTAGTATATTACATTTTTTATGTAGAAGGAGTTAAATGGAAAGATAAAAAAGAAACAAAAGATAAAACTTAAAAAGGAAAAACAAAGAACTTAATTACTTAATTTTTTTATATAAACTTTGAGGTTATAAGAAAAATTGTAAATTCCAAAGTTGTAGATCTTCGTATTTCCTACAACTTTTTGTCGGAAATCGAGATAAACCGATTGTCTACCATAAAAAATTCACCCCCTCCCGTTTTCCGACCGCAACTTGCCCGCAAGCTACTTTTTCTTTGAGTTTGTTATATTTCTTTTCTTTTTCTATTTCTTTTTAATATATTTTTAATATTTGACCAATATCAAAGGCTTTTCTCTTACATATATCGTACAATGCAAGTCCGGAATGGTTCAATTAGGAGTTCCACCTACTCTCTACCTCTGCAATATCAAAAACAAAGGAAGGCTACCGTGTTAATTAATACTATCTACATAAATTTGAATTGAAAAGTGACCCTATAAAGCTCTTGCCCTGTTAATAACTTCATAAAGTCAAAGGATTACAATTTTCTTTTAGAGTGTACTCGGACGTTAATGAATTTATAAGAGGAAGTAATGGTATAAATATTTAAAACACTTGTAATGTCGTTAATGGATCTCCCGTTCCGACGTGATTTATTGTTGGGTGGTTACTTCATTCTTCATAATCATTATGTAATAAAAATGAAACGTAATAGAATGAGTAACTTAGAAAAACAGTTAGTTGAACTTAAGCAATTTACTTTTTTACCTTTCAGTGTCTTTTAATCGACTAACCTTAATATTAATAAGTTATCTGATCCCTAGGATTTATTTTTAAAAATAAATAAAATAATATAGCTTTAACTGTCGTTATATATACCAAAGTCGCGGTAGTATTAGAAAATCGATTTTTCTATAAACTTATAAGAATTACCTTAGCCGCGTTCGAGCTGTAAGGTTCATCAAATAATGACCACATTTGAGGCTTCAGCTGTTGCCACCAGGAGACTGTTCCGTTGTAGTAATCATCTTCAAATCCGAATTTCCTCGCCACCTCCTCATCAGAAGGTTTCTCCGTATCGAGATCCAAACGATCTAGCACTGCCAGAGTTTCTTGTGTATCTCGATGCTAAATAAAGAGAAAAAACAAATACATTTACTCAAATAAATTACAAAATAAGTAATGTAATGTAAAAGTCTGGTTGCTTAATATGTACAAAGTCGAAAGGAGATCGAAAGTATTGCATACAATTCTGGGCCCTCAATGTAAAGACATGAAAATAGCATTAATTAAAAGGTTCAAAATTAAGAGTTTCTTCATTGAAAATTCTACAGAAATTGACAATCAGATAGCTGAGTTATTGGAGGTTTAGTAAAAGTGAGGATATATCGCATTATCTTTAAGAGTTAGATGAATACACTTAAAAGTATGTGAAAAATAATAATTATATTTAGAAGAGAATATCTTCTAAGTTATAACAAGGCAAGAAAGACTCAAAGACATACAAATATCGGTAACAAGTATGGAATTTTACGAGGAACAGGAGGAGTGAACTATGTGATAAAAGTCATAAAATAATACAAATAATTTTAATGAAATATTTTATTCCTTTTCAATAATAATTAAAATATCGTCTAGGAACTGTGCAGGGGGTTACAATGTTACTAGTTGCTATCCTACAATTCACACAGCGATCTATCGTTTCAGTAATATCCAATCCACAAGCCGGCGAAATAATCCAAATTAATAATTCCAAGTCAAACGTGCAGGCGATCGTCGGTGTCCAATGTGAAAGCAAGGGTCGTAAAACGTTAGGTGGGTTCGGAGTCCGTAAAAAACAAAGCAGTGGTCGTTGAAAACGCAAAATGATCGGGAAAGCACTCGAAACGCATCGAAAAACACGAAACAAGTCAGACTCAGATAACAATGCATCTGGCATGGTAATTATTAAGTGTCAATGTCATGTTGCCATAGACTCTATACTGAATGATTTCGATCGATATGGAATCGATAATCGAAAAGGATGTTTTAAAATAATATTTAATATTATTATATTAATACACGATATTAAAAGTTATTTTTATTGAATTGTAGATATGGTGTAGTTTAAATGACGTTACTATAAGTTTAAACTAAGAGTGAAGTTTTTATTTTGTAGTTAAATAATCGAATAATCATTTTTTATTTAATTAATCGTTAATCGATTGCTTCATAAAAACAGTTATTTGCATATTTCTCCGCTTGTAGATTGAGAATTTATGCAGATTTTTGGTATTTCATACAAAAGAAATAAAGTTATTTTTAAATCAATTTTGAACTCATTACATTTTGGGCCCACAAGTTTCCACAATCCGAATAAGTTTTAAGTCGTTTATATAATGATAAAATGTAAATTGACGTTCAACTTTGATATTTAAATAGACATTCGGATACATTTTCACAATAATATAGACTAAATATAAACCTGCCCTTGACCTTCGGTGTGGTTTTACGTTTTTAGGAACATTTTCTATCTGTATTGGCAATCTTTAATTAAATTTATGTCACAGTTTCAATGGAGTTAAAAGCAACCACAAAATTGATTTATCAGAAATCGCACATGCATCGGGATTTAGATTTTAGGAGTTAGAATTTTTAAGCATTTATATGTTATACTGTTCTAATATTAAATTTGGGAACGTTTCTCATATATATTTTTTATTTAATATTTAATAATAATTATTGTTATGCTGAAAACGTTAATGACGTTGTTTTATAATTGAACTGTAGTTGTGTTATAATAAAAATTGAATGTTTAATTAAGTTAATTATTTAGAGGAAAAACAATATACATAATAATATTTTAAGTTTACCATTTTGTATCTGTTTTTATGAGTATGCAGTTTATTAAATATGTTATTAGATAAACGATCCCCTTAGCAAAAAAAAAAAACGAAAGCAATAAAATAATTTTCTATTCATTAATGAAATCAGTATAACTGTACATTAATATTAAATATTGTATTTTAATGAATGTTAACCTTATGAATATAAAAATAAATTTAAAACTTAATATTTCCTATTCTAACATTTTTCATATTTTCCTTCGCACTGAATTCTTTATTTCAGCGTTCATGCTAGGAGTAGCTTGTTATACGGGCTTTCATATACGTTATATGAAAAATACTACGGTTTTATGCTATTATGATTTATAAAAAATATTAAAATATAATGAAAACCTGGATTTGTTTACTTTAGAACGACGGAGTTGTTAAGTTCTGTATTAATTACGATTATTTTAATATATGTATATTAAATATTTTGCATCAAATTATTGAAATGTTAATCGTCGAATTTTATGGCCATTTTTGTGATAGTGGGCAAATTCAATAAGTCGTATAATAAAAATCGTTTATCTTTACACCAAGTTGTGTAAGTTTGGGATGTGTAAAACTTTTGTTCGTAATGCTTCAACAGTTTTCAACAGATTGGTCTTGGTTATTACTTTTTGGGTTTCTGTGTTATACATTATCAATGTTTCATGCTATTTTATCCAACCCTATTCGGGTGCAATTTTGTATAAAGTGGATTTTAAGCTGTAAGTTCTCTATATTAAGGTAAATTATTATATTTAAGTGGCTAATTATCTTTAACAATCTTTGCAAATGAGAATTTAAGAGTGATTTTAAGCTTAAATAATAAAACTTAGTACAAAACAATGCTATCAACTATTCATTGTGTTAAAGTAAATGTTTTACAAATATAGTATAATTTATACAATGTAATTATGTAATATTTGATGCTGGAAGATGTATTTTAGAGGATAACATAAGTTATTTAAACCCTTTCATTATTAAAACCCAAGTTATTCAGGGTTCATTCTGTGGATGTATTGTAACGGCTGAAACGTCTCCTGGGATGTTTTCAATGGCCATAGAAATAGGTGTTGATGAGTTCTTTTCAGTACTTACAATTTATATTTTATTATGAATGAAATATTGAACGAGTTTATTGAGGTATAGAAATGTATTTTTCATTTGAATGTGAAGAAAATTATTTATTATAATTAAAAATTATTGAATATCTGGTACTGGCGTCGGTCGTTTCAATGTGAAATAATTTTATATTTCACTATGATACTTGATTTCAGTTGTATTGTTAGTTCATATTTTAACTGTATTTAATATGATTATATTCGTGTTTACAAAGCTGTGACGGCCAGAATATAGTAATATGTTATCAGGGTGCCTCTGACGGGATACACTGATTTAATAGTGGCAGTGTGGTCTAGTACTTACTGTTACTAAGATATCACTGCACTCGCACTATGTGTATAAATAATTGTTATTAAAAGTTAATATACAATAAAACAAGGGTAAAGTTTTTATTTGGATTTTGCATTACTTCTGCCTCGTCTAAATGAGATAGCTTTAAAATGTCAAATTTCTCAGTAACCTATTTATTAGTTGTAGATAAATATAATAAATGAACAAAAAAATATCTTTATTTTCCTTAACAAATTTGTATTTAAATATAAAGTTATTGGAGTCTCCTTTTAAGAATATGAAAAGCTTGTGCCAGGAAACTCCGCTCTTCCATATCACGAATTAATTAATATTAATCAGGTTAGTTAATATATTACCTGTGTGTATGTCATCCAGCAACAAGGTTCTACTTGGTTGGCATCTAACCCCCAAAACTCGAGCTCTTCCTCAAATAAAGGTCCACACACATCCGTTGGGTAATGCAGCTTACCTGTCCTGTAGAAAGAAATTTATGGCTTATTAAATATTCTCTACAAATGACTATTATAACTTAGTGATAACTTTTCATACATATATGTGAGAATCATGCTAGATCTTATGGAGTTTCTTTTGCATTTTTACTCCGCAATGAAGAGACTAGTAAAGTAACCGATTATATTAAACATGTTCTGAGATCGATAGGAGTAAAATTAAGATTCAGATCCATATTTTTTTTGTATTTTAAGCTAGCTATTAATTCATTTGGTAATTAATCACAACGCTTGACTTAGTATTGCAACATTCATATATAATACGTATAGATAGGTATATGTATGTATGTTTATCGATTTAGACTGATGAGTTTGTATTTCAGTTCACTGACTGTGAAATTTAAATTGATTTCACAGTTTCTGACTGACTGACCTACATAGTTGTTGTTTCATAGCTGTTTATCGATCCCAACCTTCTTTTATGAGTGAGCAATTATTTTTATATAGTAGCTGTAATAAAACGGTCCCATATTGAGTTGCAAAATCATTTTCTACAGGTGAATAAAGAATATGAATAGAAAAAGTATATTATATTGTAATATCATATGTATTAATCTAAGTAAATGGTTAGTGAATTGAACTCTGAAAGATTTATCAAAAGTTGTTTCTAATAATTGATCTATTTGAATTATACTGAGTTTCTAAGACAGATTGTTTTTAACTAGAACAAAATAAACCCGAAAGTAACTCTGTCTGTCTGTTACGCTTTCACGCCTAAACCACTAAACTGATTTTAATGAAATTTGGTACAGAGATAGAGTTGACCTTGAGAAAGAACATAGAATACTTTTTAGCCCAGAATTTTGAAAGGTTCTTTTGGAAACGCTATATAACCGAACTCCACGCGGGCGAAGCTACGGGCGGAAAGCTAGTATATAATAAATGAATACAAATGGAACTATTTTTTTACACTAATGATCAAAACGCATGATAGTGATTATAAAGTAAAGTAACATTGCTGCCCACGTGTCCAGTATTTAATGAATTCAAAAACCAAGTGTTATTATGTTAACATAACGTTAACAAATCCAAAATGGACATCGACCGAGTTGTGTCATCTGGGAATTAAATATCATCATGAAATGGTTGTGGCTGTTTGTTAAAATAATAATTTGTACAGATGTTTGGAGAAAGTTTTAAACCTTTCAATCAAAAACGAAGTTAAGGCGCTTGGAGTTGCCAAATATGATATTAATTTGTATAACATATTGAGATTTAAACTTCAGAAGTACTTAAAAGCTTTCTGTTTATAACACAAGTATTAAAACATTCGTTCTTGAGATATAATAATATTACCATTAATTTTAAATCAAAATTATATTAATAAGGATACAAAAGTATCCAACATTGTTCAGTATACATAAGATAGATCCTTCAGTCGAACCCTGGAGTTCCATTATTATGAAAAGTTATACGGTTCCTCGAGAATTTTAGTTTTGTTAGTAACAAGAAATATTCTAAGAGAAATATAAAATATTTTTCAAAACTTCCATTCTGAATTAAAAAGTTAGATATAAAGTTGAAGAAAACTTGTAGGTGTTATTTAAAATTTATAAATAAACTTCTCCCTTTGTCTTAGCTGGATACTTTTACATAAATTTTTGTACACTTAGTTATTCTTTTCAGTTTTATTTCGGTCGCTCATTGAAGTAAAATAAAAGTATAAAGGAAGCCAAAAATAACAAATTTATTGTACATTGTAAAAAACAAACAAATATATTATATTAAGAAATAATAAATAGTGCCAGTATTAAATAAATATGAGTAGGATTGCTATAAGGAGTCTTTGAAAACAAAACATTGGTTAAAATGTACGCAAAATTTGCTTTGTCGATACCTAAAACGTTTTATCGATATAATAATGTGAAATTTGACATTCATTAATCGTGTCAATTTGTCCTCAGTTCTGTTGATGGAGCTTAATGGACCTCTTTTCTGCGTTATTTCCGCATTAATTAACAGTTTACTCCAAGCCGACAACCCCAAAATATATACAGGTTAATTTTACATTTAAAATATTCGTAACTTTATTTATTTCTATTCTTAAAGTTATTCCGTTTCAATTGTTTCTTTAGCAGAATATAGAACAGCGTAATTTTTTATTGGTTTTGTGTCTGAAAAACATATTTTTATTCTCTTTTTGCTAGTCAACATAACATTCTGATTTAACGAACGTCAATTATCCTCGGAATTAAATTTAGTTTCAATTGGATCTGAATATAGTTTTCATTATCATACTTTAAAATTTTAAATTTTTCATTAAATGCTTATGTATTAAATAAAGGTGGAGTTATAAAACATATAATATATATGTTTTTTGTGTCTATGATGTTAGATAAAACTAAAAATTTATCTAGATCATTAAATTTATCGTCCGTAGAACATAAAGCTCGATGATCTCCACGGCTATTTAAGATGACGGTTACAGTTATAAATCCGTCAAAGTGAAATCCTTCAGCAAACTTTAAACCCGGCTGCGATAATAAATCAATACAGATGCATTGTTTATTTGTTGTCAGATACAACTGAAGACGGTACGGATATATTTTGACATTCATAGCGGATACATATAAAACTACAAATGGCTTAACAGACACAATTTGTAAGTGTCAATTCTTTGCATAAATATGAGATGATTTCAATTCTCTTTTTTATATGTTGCTTAAGTTATAAATGCATATATTATTAACACATAAATAGGAATAAGATTAAGATAGTACTTTACTGTATTCTTTATTTTATGTTAGTCAATTCAGTGTGAATTGAAAACAATCTCACATAGGTATAAATACACGCAGTATCCTATACCAGTTGACCTCAATACCAAGGTTCTAAACAAACAAACTGTCTAGCCCTTATCAATAAAATTAATTTTGACCTGAACAGCCGGAACCCTTAGGGAATAAAAGGAGTTATTTTATCGAAATAAATTCTGTTGTGTAAAGTTTAGGTACATATTGTTTTTAGTTTTGACATGAAGTTTGGTTTGTAATATATAAGATAGAAGTTGTTTGAGAAGCATCAGTTTTTATAAAAATATTGTATATTATATCTTAAGTAATTGGGGTAAAATTCAAACATTTTGTTTTTGAAAACAATTAATTAATTCGTTAATACCTTCAAGCCGGGAATACTTTGAGATCTGAATTGTTGCTTTGTTTAAATTATGATGTGTCAGACCGTTTCGTACCGTATTTTTATAATATTAATATTTTTGGTACCTTAGCCATTATTTGAATTAAATAAGTAGATAATTTGGATTTTTTTACAATTTCTACGAGTACATAATATACTAATTTGTGTTTAGTGTATGTTTTGACAACATATGAATAACAAATAATAATTAGATCAAAGAGTTACACGAGTATTCATTTTAATAAAACTAATATTTTTCGGATAATTACGCGTTTTTTTATTATTTTAAACCTTCTTAACATATTAAAAGTCCTCATTTTGTCTGCCCATGATCACGGTTGCTGTGAAGTAACCAAAACGTCAAGAGTTTGTAGTTTTAAAGTAATAAACTAACACTTAGTGATCCGAAAACAGTTACATTTATATGAATAACAATTCATGAATAATTTAAGGTGCTGACGACAATATACTAAATATGTAACGGGAACTTCTAATGCGCCGTAGTAAGTGACTAATTGAGCTATTAAGTTCTTACAATGAGAAAACGTTTTAAGACAAATAATGCCGTTATTGTCTAGTACTACATTTTTGTTCATGATAGAGAATATCTTTTCAAGTAAAATTACCCTAACTGTACGAATTTGTATGCTTATGTTGAAATCATTATTCTAAAATTCAATAAATTTGTTTCGTTACTACAACGATATTTGCATTTTAAATTATTTATTAAAATTTATTCGTTTCATTTGATAAATGAATTCTATGCTTTTGAGAGTATTACATTTTCAGTGTGACATGATTGAAAAACTTTATCAAATTTTGTTACCTGTAATAATTCAGGACTTGTGCGAACACGCCGGGATGTCTGTCGAAGAAATATTCATTGAGAACTGGGTCGTAGTTAGCGAGGGCCTCCGTTAGACGGGAGAGGCGCGTCGCTGGGATCTTCTTCAACGTGGCCTTGTAAGTTTCGTGTCGGATTCCACCCACGTTCAACACCACGCGGTTCTCCGCATCCGTGTTGAGAAGATTCATTTCTGTGCGAACGAAACTTTTACAATGATTGCCAACTTACGGTTTGAGTGGAATTACAATCGAAATTGGCAAGCCGTGGATATAAATTAGTTATGCGACCATTTCAACAGAACTTCTACTCTTTGTTATTATTATTTGAGTATTTCAATTGAAGATTTTTAAATGTAAGTACTTACTTAAATCTTCTCAATTCCTATACTATACAACGCTACGGTGACCGACTTTGCCCGCGTCGCCACATTACTTCTATATATTCATCCTCTTGTCCGTTGATACTCTTGTGACTTGTCATTGCTAGGGTAGAGTAGAAGTCTGAAATAAATAAAGCATACACATTTTATTAATAATATACACTTATATAAGGATAAAAGTAAAAGTAGAACTTAACAGACATACTGCTCAAAATAAGCAGATGTGATTAAAAATGTGTAAGAAATACATTAAATAATTTAAACTAAGTATAAATAATACACTGGCATGGTTTTGTCACACGCGCTTATTACGTCGATACGAGAAAATTTCTATTCTACTATTAAAGTAAAAATAAAAAGTATTATATCCGACTATCTACCCTTCAGCACCATCTAGTAATTATTGATCTATAAAATCAACAAAAATGAAAATATACTTGCTGCAAAATATAAATCTAATATTATTTAAATATAAAGCAAAATTAAAGCCTAACGCCAGTTTTTATAAGAAATTATAACGTCTAGAAAATAATGAATCTCCCAAAATATATTAACATAACAAAAGAAATATTAAATGGGAGACGAGAAGCAAAAAAATTTAGAAACGTCATTAGAATAATTCAGAATCCGTTTGTTATAAATATAAACACAATGCTAAATTAGTTTAAGGTTATATTATACAAAGAAAGCCTCGCAAAGTCTGTCCTTATTAAAGAAAATATTTATTCTGTAACGTCCCACTATTATATGGGGATTACATCTGAAATGGTTCTGCCGTTTCAAAATAATCTTTGGTGTCCGGTTTTAAAGTCTTAATTCATATATATTGCAGTTTTTTCTCGACAGTAGAACAAAGGATGTGCTTCAGAGTGAAAATTGTCTGATAAAAAAATAGATAAAAAAGATGTTTCGTCATTTTTTAAGGAAACACAAAGGATGAAGGTGGGCGAATTGAAAATACAGTTTTTTTTGTTTTATTGTACGTACGATTATACGTGCTCGAATTTCGGAACGCTTGGAATGAATACATTCAATGTTTTCCCTACAACTTTAGAATAAAAGTAATTTTCTCTTTATTTATTATTCTTACTACTATATTTTTCAGTACCAAAGGAATACGAGAGTACAGGAGATTATATTAGTGTCTTTCAGTTATATTAAAAACAAAAAGGTTTTTCTAATATTAAAATATTAGAACTAATGAGCGAACAAATCAATTTACATCAGTCTCTATTAATAAATCCTTCAAATTCGTTAAATTAACGCATAAAAATTTAATTAAGTTATTAGTTTTATAACCATATAAGGTTAAAAAATATCGCTCGAATGAGAGCTGCAATCTAAATAACTTTTTTTCTGAATAAGTCATGAGAGGTCTGAGTTTACTTGAAAGTACTCATTAAAGGTGCTCCTCGGCTTTACAAACATCGTGAGATGAAACACTACAAAAAAAATTAATTGAAAATCTTTAAAAACTCATATTATTTACAGGGCTATAATTTTTTAGTTTTGACGTCCACATTAGACTAGGCCTGTTTTTAGGACATTGATACATATTTATCAAATAGGATTCAGAAAATTATTACTACGCCTAAATAGAGAAATGAGAAATGTGAATTTTTGAACTATTTCTAGTTGACTATTTCAAAAATGATGTTTCGCAAAGTACCTAAGTAACCTATTAATTTTTGGCAACAAATATACAACTGCTGCATTCATCTTGTATAAATTTCGTTTTTCCCTTTTCAGTTCCACGCTAAGCCATTTTTCAATTGCATTTATTTAAAACGAGGTTTTTGTCTGGAGCCTCTCTAAAGATATCGTTTCACTAAAAACTACTTTATGTTAGCTTTGATTGCTTTGTTAATGCTTATTTACATTTGGCTTTTCTATTTTGGAGATTTAATACACCATTGCAGCTAAATTAAATTAATTTTTAGCTTAAGTTAAACCTCTCGTGCGAAAATGATAATGGCTTGTTTTTTTTGCGATTGATCATTTCAATCTTTTATATTTCGTTTATTTAATACGTGTTGACAAGTTTACAATTATTTATTAATAATATTATAGAAAGTTAGAGCTATATATGTATATAAGAAATCATAGCGTGTAAGCACTTTTTTACCTACAATTATAAAAAAAATAGTCAAGAGGTAATTCATTAATTTACAATAATTATTTAATTAAGTATTTAGTAAAATCATTTCATGTGAAAAAAATTATTAGAACTATTATCGACGATTTTTTATTATATTACTAGTTTTTGCCCGCGACTTCGTCCGCGTTAATTTCATCATTACTAATATATGTATAGCTGACCGGGCGAACTCTATTCCGTCATAGAGGCCATAAATAATCAGGATTTTCCTGTTTCAATCGAACAGAATGATTGACATATTAGTTAGTTGTCAAATCTAATGTCAAAGAAAACATTTGTATGGGAAATAGAAAAGGGCCGTTTTTAGGGTTTTCCCGGAAATGAATCAATTTTTCTCACCTTTTAAACCTTCCCTGAACCTTCACGGACATTTCAAGACTAAGATAAGATAAATCCGTTCAGCCGTTCTTGAGTTTTAGCGACACTAAGGAACAGCAATCCATTTTTATATATATAGAAGATTATTATTTTCTACGGAATATTTTTTTATATGAACGCCTTATTATATTATAACTATTTCGAAAAAAGACTTTTTACGTCTTTGCAATAAAGCTTGTAAAATTATTTTTGGTTAATACAAATAATTTTATCTAATTTAATAAATACAAATTTATAAAATAAATAGATACTTAATTGATAATGTGCATGCAGAATTCCATTTAAGGAAAAAAAATGTTCAGCATGCAAAATAAAGTCTCCAAAACAACATACTGTATTGACAGGGAGCATAATAAGAATATTTAAAACGTTTATAAAGACACTAAAGAGCAAATATAAAATCGATATAAAACCAAGTTGGTGTCAATAGTTGGTGTCATTGTAAGGTATTTCAGGCTGAAAGTGCTACAGTTTCTTTTTCCACAGGCTTTTGAAGTAGCAAATGGGCTACGCTACAAAGACTCAAATTGTCTGCCGTTTAGACGCAACCTGTATACAAGATGTAGTTTGAGTGTTATGTATAAAGGTTTTCATTTATGGCTCCAAAGAAAGAGGTCACGCGGAGGGTGAGGTGATATCCACTATATATGTAACAGATAATCATCTTAAACATAGTTTTAATATTCATCAAAGTATTTATAAATTTACATGTTGTTGTTATATTAAATCATATTTAAAAGGGAAAGGTCGGATTGCAGTTATCATTTCTAAACGGCTCGGACACAGTTGAATTAATCTGCTTCATATTTACCACACAAAGAGATTAAAACCTCGGCAGATAATGATTGTTTGTAGTCGGGGAATTGATTGAAAAATTTATATCTCTTTTATAGACGTATATTACAAAGCATATAATGGTTTATTTTATGTGGGAAATATGATTAGTTTTGATAGATCTTAGATAAAATATAAATGAAAAATGGGCTTAAACTTCAAAAAACATATTTATTAACTTTTAGTAATGTTAACCAAATATAGAAGCAACGCCATGACAGTTAGAGAGAGTAAGCTGTATCTCTGTCTCACACCTAGACCCTATTAAATTGCACATTAATATTTTTTATAACAATCTTTTCAAGGATATAGGTATATAGATATAGCTCTATACAAAACCGGCTTCAGATCAATACAATGTGGATGATACATTTAGTAAACAATGTCAAATTAATTCGATCTACGGTCCGTGTGACAAAACAAAAGGGATTCTAGTTAACACAATGGCTTTGTGTAAGTCAATAGGATATACAAATACAGTTGTTTGTCTATGGGTTTTGTTCGTGATAAGAACCTTTCATGAGTTGAAGTATTATAAATATTTTTAATAATTATATCAAGTTATTGTTGTAGCAACTAATCTGCTTAAACAAGCGGGGTTTGGGTGGTTACGATTATAAATCGCTCTCTGTATTTTATAAGGTTAAATGACCACCTTATGTGGTAACGAGAATTCTAATCCCTTTTTTTTCTTATATAATATTTTCTTTTTCTTTATTTTTAAAATTCTAAATGACATACAATACTAGATCTAACTAATTATAATATCTAAGATTTTCGCAAGTGTTAATTTGAATGAAAACATTACATTTGGAAATGTTACATACGCTATACTATTTTACTTTTATATTATAGCAACCATGATCACGGGTAGATGAGATGAACGTGTCTATCAGTTAGTCTGATTATTTGTCATCCACAGCCAATGATTTCTGAATATTCTCGCGTACCATTTTGTATGCACTAAGAAAACGCTAAGTGTATTTTGAGGTTTGAAAGTGTGAGAGGAGCGGATGTTTTTTAATTTCAATAGCCTACCAGATTAATCTCTAAACGAGGCTCTTCTTCTTTGTCTTACAGACTTTGTCTTACAATCTTACAGACACTTTTATTAAGTCTATCCATCATCATAATCGCTAAAAAATAACGGACACTTCGAGCGAAATGTATAATATAAGAAATAAAGTTTAATTTAAATAGGTAATTCGAGATCAAAACTTTATGATGTCGATTAAAATAATAATAAAACTATTTAATTACTTTGTTTACTCGATAACTGTGTTACGATCCATTTGTATACCATTAAAGCACATTCAATGTCTGTGCTTATAAAAGGTAGATTCCACAATTAAAACGAGTTCACGACGGAAATTTGCACGTTTATTGCAGACGTTTAATTCGCTTAAGTACCCCATATTATGTACTGATACTTTGATCTA